CCACCACCCCCCCCCCCCGCCACGACCGAACCATCACCGAGAAGATGATGTGCACCGACTCCCGCAGGAAGGACACCTGCAAGGTACCAGCCTGCCAGACAGACCCTGTGGGGCTGGGCGCGGGGTGGGCAGTGGGGAGGATTCCTGCAGCCTGGTAGAGGTGAGGGTGTGGGGGGGTGCAGGGTGAGATGGGGCCGTAGGACTGGATGGGGTTGCAGGAACCCCCAGCTCAGGGGTCAGAGTGGGGACGCGCAGTGAGCCCCCCGCAGTGCTGCTGAGTCCCAGGTTCCATAGGGAGACTCCGGTGGCCCCCTGGTCTGCAACGGGGTGGCTGAGGGGGTGGTCACGGCCGGCTCCCGCGTCCGCGGCAACTACAAGAAACCAGCCATTTACACCCGCATCGCGCCCCACGCCGACTGGATCGACAGCGCCAGGGGCCTCCCAGAGCATCGCCCTGCGCCGGGAGGAGGGTGGGCTGGGAGATCCACCAAAAACCAAGTCAGGGGGTCCCTGGCCCACCTCGGCCAAGCACAGGGTCTGGCCAGGGGGTCGCAGCCCCTGCTCTGGTGCAGGCCACAGGCTTCGCTGCATGTGCCCAAACTGCTGCCACGACCACACCGCAATAAAGACACGATGATTCCTGCAGAGCTGCAGGGGGGGGTGGGACTCCCTGCCTGGGGGGGCGGGTGTGGGCAGCACTGGGGGAGCTGGAGAAAAGGGGGGAGATGCCAAGGCCCAATGCTGCGACACCCCCTGGCCACCCCCCATCCACCTGCATTTGGAGGGAGCCCCATCCTCTCCTTGGCCTTGACCATGGGCTGAGACTCCCCAAACTCACTGCTTGGAAGGCTCAACCCTAGCAGTGCCTCTCACTGGGGGGCATGTGGACTCCACTGACCCCCCCAGCACCCCTCCATATGCCCTGGCTGAGCACCCCCACATCCTGCAGGGCCACGGGGTGATATGGCTGCAGTGGGACCTTCCCCAGGGTCATGGTGTGACTTTTTGCTAGAGAATCTGAACCTGCACTGTAAGGTGAGGGGTGGCAGCAGCTCCCATAGGGGGGCAACAAGGCCAGGCAGGGGCCACCCTGGATGCCTCCACCCCTGGCCCAGGGGTCGCTGGAGGGAGTCATGCTCAGCCCTTGGCCTGGTTGGTTTTCGAGGTTCAGGGGGAGGCAGAACTCCCACCCTCCTGCCCCAGCCCAACAACAACCCCCACATTCTGTACAAAACTAAGGGAACTTTTATTTACAAAATGGCTGCTGGTTCAGCAAGGGCCAAACAGGGGTTTGCTCCACACTCCTGTGCTCCCATTCTCGCTGGAGGGAGTCATGCTCAGCCCTTGGCCTGGTTGGTTTTCGAGGTTCAGGGGGAGGCAGAACTCCCACCCTCCTGCCCCAGCCCAACAACAACCCCCACATTCTGTACAAAACTAAGGGAACTTTTATTTACAAAATGGCTGCTGGTTCAGCAAGGGCCAAACAGGGGTTTGCTCCACACTCCTGTGCTCCCATTCCTTGGGGAGGACAGGTCTCTGCTCAAACAGCCCCCCCAGCTCAGCCTGGGGCCACCAAGGCAGGCAGGATTCACCTCGGCTGACACTGACAGGGAAGCCTCTGGCACTCCCAGCTGACTCTTCCCCATCAACCCCAGGAGCTCCCTCCCCTCCTTTTCCTGGCAGAACGATCAGTGCAGGAAGCAGCCGGGGCGCTGGGCAGCACCGCTCCACAGAAAAGCTGCTGTCCCTCTGTCCTGCAGCTCCAGGGAAGGCAGCTCCGCCCTGAGGGGGGCTCGGGAGAAGCTGAGGGGAGCTCAGGAGTAGCTGAGGGGCATCCTCCGCCACAGCCCCCCACACAAGCAGTTCTTGATCCAGCGCTGCTCCCACTGCTTCACTGCTGTCACCTTGTTGGGAGACTTGAGCATCGTGACGCAGCCGCACCTGGGAAGGAACCGAGAGGTGGCACCAGGGACAGGAGGCCAGGACACAGCAGGGCTGGGGTGTCTGCAGGGACCACGGGGGTGAGGGAGAAACCGGCTCCATCACGTGCAGGTGATGTTTGTGAGCACTAGAAACCAGCTCCAACCACGGAGCAATTATCTGAAGTGAAGAGGTGATCTGGAGCAGAGCCTTCAAGGGAACAGCCCCCAGCTGCTCTTTACAGATAAAACAGAAGACAATCATCTTGTAAAAATGATCTGCTACAGAGACTTTCTATTAAAACCAGTAATTAAAGCTAATTCAATCACATTATTAGATGGCTGTTGGCTCCCCGCACCATTATTTTGAAATCCAGGCTCTTTCATGGGGGTGGATGAAGAGGACAGCACAAACGCACTTAAAAGTGCAAGCCTAGTTTGAAAGACAACCCCCCAATGGCACCATGGATGCTGGGATGATTCCCTCTCACCAAGGCATTTTTCTTCAAAGCCCAGACCTGCAGCATAGCTGAGGGGAGCTCAGGAGTAGCTGAGGGGCATCCTCCGCCACAGCCCCCCACACAAGCAGTTCTTGATCCAGCGCTGCTCCCACTGCTTCACTGCTGTCACCTTGTTGGGAGACTTGAGCATCGTGACGCAGCCGCACCTGGGAAGGAACCGAGAGGTGGCACCAGGGACAGGAGGCCAGGACACAGCAGGGCTGGGGTGTCTGCAGGGACCACGGGGGTGAGGGAGAAACCGGCTCCATCACGTGCAGGTGATGTTTGTGAGCACTAGAAACCAGCTCCAACCACGGAGCAATTATCTGAAGTGAAGAGGTGATCTGGAGCAGAGCCTTCAAGGGAACAGCCCCCAGCTGCTCTTTACAGATAAAACAGAAGACAATCATCTTGTAAAAATGATCTGCTACAGAGACTTTCTATTAAAACCAGTAATTAAAGCTAATTCAATCACATTATTAGATGGCTGTTGGCTCCCCGCACCATTATTTTGAAATCCAGGCTCTTTCATGGGGGTGGATGAAGAGGACAGCACAAACGCACTTAAAAGTGCAAGCCTAGTTTGAAAGACAACCCCCCAATGGCACCATGGATGCTGGGATGATTCCCTCTCACCAAGGCATTTTTCTTCAAAGCCCAGACCTGCAGCACAAGCTGGGAATCTCCTGTCACCAGCAAAAGCTTCCAGGGGTAAACCCAGGTCTCCCTCCCACTGTGTAGCCTGGCTGTGCCCTCATTTTCCTGCTAAAGCAAAATTGTGTTTTATTCCATGACGCCAATTCAGCCCTTGGATGAAATGCAGCTCAGTGTGGCAGTGACAAACCTGGGTAATACTTTCGGGCAAAGTAACAAGGTTTCACTATAGCAGCCCTAGGCAGCGAGACAATAGCTGCTGCCTCCAGTCAGAGACACTGCTCCTCAAGAGGCATTTTAAGGATCTCAGACTTCCAGGGTAGGGACACCCTAAATACAACCACAGCTGCTCTCTCCCAGCACACAGGGGAGGGCCATAACCAAAGGCCTCATGAAAGAAGCAGCGTTTCCTCCTGAAGGCACCAGGAAGGCAAAACACTCTTGGGATACAGGCTGGGATGGCAGAAGGAGCTTGGAGAGCTCCTGGATGGCAGTGGGTTGGAGTGCCCACCCGGCCCCCGCGCTGCCCACCTGGTGCAGGACTTGCACTCCTCCGTCGGGTACGCGCCCAGGTGAAGCCGCCTCAGGTGGTCGATTTTGGGCTGTCCAGGTGCCCTGGTAGGAAGAACAAACAGAAATTGTTCTAGAATATCACTTTCTAAAAGCTGCTTCCAGGACAGTGAGCTGCATTTCACTGTCCACCACAACACAAGCTTTGACTACCCAGGCCAAGTGCTGTGAAATCAAGGCCACACTGACACGGATCCAACCACAAACTGGCAGTTTCTTCCCCTCCATTTGTGGTCTCTTTTCAACACTATGTTCTCAGCCCATTCAAAGTTAAGAAATTAAATCAAGCAGAGAGGACAAAGTGCTCTTGGGTCACATCAGCATGTGGACAAGCCAAAAACCCAGGTGTCCCAAACCCAGTGACCCCTCAGAGCTGGAAAGGGACCCCAGAGCCCCCCAGCACCCCCCTCTCACCACAGTGACTCGGTTCAGGGCTCGTACCTGATGAAGGCGTCAAACTGGGAAGAGACAGTGTGACCAACGAGCCCGGGAGCCTTCCCAAACTGCAGCCGGACAAGCTGCTTGTTCTGCAGCTTGCTGATAATGCCATCGTTGATGGGCAACCAGTCGATGTTGGGAATGAGCAGCTGGCTGGGCAGGAGGCAACACTCATCTATCAGGGTGTCATCGGGCTCCGTTATGTGATTTTCCTCACGACCTGCATGGAAAATGAAGCAGAGAGAGAACACCAGTGTGATCTTTAAACCTCTCATTTTGAGACTGAAAGAACTGTGTGTGATTTCCTCCTCTATCCGCCAACACAGCACAGAAAACAAAGCCCCTGGCAGCTGCACTTGCCCTTTCCAAACACACAGACCCACTCACGAATCACTCCCTGCAATTACTCCTTTCACACACAATCCACATGGAGGCAGATCCTTTTGTTCAGGGCAAGTGGTGAACACTTACAGCAGAGCCAAAGCTTGGTGAGGAGCCTGAAGAGGAGGGACATGCTGTCCTGGGTGTCAGAGGTGGCCGTGTAGACAGGAAGGCAGCTTGGCTTCAGCAGCCCCCAGATGCGGATCACCACCATCAGCTCCCGGAACATGCCGAGGGAGGCTCCATCCCGCAGGAAGCTGTGTCCCGGGCGCACCGGGGAGCCCTGCAGGGAAACCAGCAGGGATAGGGGCTGGCACAGAGCCTGCCAGAACCACAGCTCTGTGGTCACACAGCTCCTGGTTTCCAGCACTGCATGACCTGCAGCACGAGCTGCAGGGGAGCTCAGAGGCACATGGAGGTTCACAAAGAGCCTTGCTCTCACCACGGCTGCTGATCGCTTCAGCTCTGAGGCCCAGGTGGGCTCAGGAAGGACCATCTCTGGTTTCTTCTGTTTCTTACACTCCCCAGTGTTTGACCTGATAACACTGGGGTTGTGTGTCCCTTGGCTAAAGCCACCCCAACACCACACATGGCTTTTTTTGCCCATCTGGGTCTGCTGGCAGCCCCCATGCTCTCACCTGGTTGGGAAGGCTGGCCAGCAGATAGAGCACAAAGTCTCCCACCCACTGGATGAGCTGCTGCAGGGACTGCAACGTGGTCATTTCCAGGACAAATTCTTCAGTTTTCAGGTTAACCATCACCTTGTCAATGTCTGAAATAGAAGAGAGACATCCCCTGGCTCAGGAAGATGGATCCAAACTCCACCCCTGTCCCTGTGGTGCCAAGGGAGGTCACCCTCCTCTTCCTCCAGCCCCGGGAGTCACCACAAAACCCGGGCACTTTATGTCAAACTAAAAGGGGAATAATCTGACACAAACTGCTCTGATGTGAAGAGCAACCACTACCTATGTCTGTGATCTTGGAGCAGACCTCGGTGAGCCGGTCCCCGGGACTCTTGTCCGGGTTGTTGAGGAAGTGGGGGCGCAGCAGGGACTTGAGGGTGCAGCTGATGGCGATGAGGAAGAGCTTGGCATGGTAGTCACAGACGCGGGCGATGGTGCTGGAGGAGAGTTTGCAGAGAGATGCCTTCATGGCCACGATGCGCGTGGAGAGGACCTGATGGACACGCACCAAGAGCAGAAGGAAAGGCAGAATTAGAATAAGCTCATTAATGCAAGACACTTTGTTCTTTGCTCTCCCATTTCTGCCACTGGAATGGCAGGAGCAGTGAATCCTGCTCTGCACAGGTACAAACGGTGCTACTGGGCCCAGAACCTCTCCCAGAAATAGACTTTACCACCTCACCAGAAGCTTCCAACCAGTCCAGCCATTAACATCAGTAAAAATGGAGACTGCTTAGCTGGAGGCTCCTCACACCCCGAGCACAGCCCAGGGACAGCCTGGCCAAGGGGTTGGAGCTGCTTCCCTCCCTCCTGCCAGGCCCTGCAGCCCCTGACCTGCTGCAAGGCCGCGTTCTGCCGCATGTACTCCTCGTGCAGCTTCTCCACCAGGTTCTGCACCATGTTGGGTTGGACGTGGAGGAGGATGTCCCACCAGTCGTAGCCAGTCACCATGCAGTACTCCAACAGGAACAGCAAGTGACGGAGGGACATGTTCATGTCCAGCACGTGGCCCATAGAGGGGGAGATGCGAAGCATGCTCAGCTGAAGGGAGCAGGCAAAGGAGAATCCATGTCAAGAACTGGACTGAAAACACTCCGGGAAGCTCTAAAGGCACAGGGCCTGCAGCTCAGTCCTGACCCAAAGACACAACTCCTGCTGGAACAGGATACATCTCTCCTTGCTTAACATGGATCACACAGCTGGAAGTAACATTCCCTGCATTTTTTTGAGTTATTAATCTTAGAGAGAGCCTGGAGGAGAACAACTCACACCCCCCCAGCAGAGCACAATACCTTCCCGTGACTATCAATGCCCGCCAAGGCCAGAGACGTCCAGGAGAGCTGCATGGCTTTGAAGTGCACCAGGGGACTGGCCGTGCGCTGCCGCTTGATGCTCTGCTCGTCCCCGGGGCGCTGGGAGGAGCTGTAGAAAACAGCCATCATCTGCAGGGACAGGCGGTGCACGATGTGGACGCTGCCGTCGTGGAAGGCCAGAGCCAGTCCTGGGGGAGACCAACCCAGGCTGATCAAGGGGCCCCTCCTGGTGGGACCCAAGGGGCCCCTCCCCCAGAGGGGCCACCACACCAACGACTGCCCACGGGACAAGAAGCCAGGACCCAAAGGGACTCGTGGGGCTCCAAGGCTCCAAGCTCACTCCTGTCCTGAGGCCATGGCAGCATTCCCCACAGATAGGCCTCTCTCCATGGAAACACAATGGGATGGCCAGGAAGACACCATGTCTTTGACAGTTTTCCTATGAGTATTTCCTATGGTTTGCTCCCAATTCTTTCTATAGTTCAGAAGGTGAGGAGGGTGAAGTTTCAGCCAGAAGGCACATATTTAGGAGAAAGACAACAGAGCCTCCTTACCCAGTCCAGGGAAGAACTTGGTGTCACTGGCCACCTTCAGGTCCGTGTTGGTCAGGGAGATGGGCAGCTTGGGCAGCGCCACGGCCGACACTCGATCCAGGTCGTTGGTGGCAGAGAGGATCCTCCACTTCAGGATCATGGGCTGCTTGTCTCCAACTGGGAAAGGTAAGGAAGTGAGACATCCTTGCACAAAGAGATCAGAAAAAATGTCCACCCCCCGATTTCTGCCCACCCTCCCCACTCAGCACTACAGATCCAGCACTGAATGGTTGTTCATTCTACCAGACCAGTTTATTTCCCTTGTATTTCCACATTTCTTTTCTGATTTCAGTAAATGTACAAAAAACAACCTGCTCTGCCAAGTCTCTTTTGGTGGAAGGTTCTGCTGGTCTGATTTAAAAAATCCTGATGTTCACTAATCCTTTATATTTCACTGGAACAAACTGAGTGATTTGATTTGGTTCTATCTGAAGTAGGGTGGGAAATGGTGCAGCCTGGGGAGCTCCATGAGACCAGACTTCCTGCACCATCTTTTTCCTTGGGAAGCTCAGCTCACTGGGCTCCCAGCGAGACGAGCGGGTGCACAGAGTCACACAGAAAATGGCTTTTATTGAGTGAAAGCAACAATCAAACCATCCCCCAGAGGGGCCACCACACCACTGACTGCCCACGGGACAAGAAGCCAGGACCCAAAGGGACTCGTGGGGCTCCAAGGCTCCAAGCTCACTCCTGTCCTGAGGCCATGGCAGCATTCCCCACAGATAGGCCTCTCTCCATGGAAACACAATGGGATGGCCAGGAAGACACCATGTCTTTGACAGTTTTCCTATGAGTATTTCCTATGGTTTGCTCCCAATTCTTTCTATAGTTCAGAAGGTGAGGAGGGTGAAGTTTCAGCCAGAAGGCACATATTTAGGAGAAAGACAACAGAGCCTCCTTACCCAGTCCAGGGAAGAACTTGGTGTCACTGGCCACCTTCAGGTCCGTGTTGGTCAGGGAGATGGGCAGCTTGGGCAGCGCCACGGCCGACACCCGATCCAGGTCGTTGGTGGCAGAGAGGATCCTCCACTTCAGGATCATGGGCTGCTTGTCTCCAACTGGGAAAGGTAAGGAAGTGAGACATCCTTGCACAAAGAGATCAGAAAAAATGTCCACCCCCCGATTTCTGCCCACCCTCCCCACTCAGCACTACAGATCCAGCACTGAATGGTTGTTCATTCTACCAGACCAGTTTATTTCCCTTGTATTTCCACATTTCTTTTCTGATTTCAGTAAATGTACAAAAAACAACCTGCTCTGCCAAGTCTCTTTTGGTGGAAGGTTCTGCTGGTCTGATTTAAAAAATCCTGATGTTCACTAATCCTTTATATTTCACTGGAACAAACTGAGTGATTTGATTTGGTTCTATCTGAAGTAGGGTGGGAAATGGTGCAGCCTGGGGAGCTCCATGAGACCAGACTTCCTGCACCATCTTTTTCCTTGGGAAGCTCAGCTCACTGGGCTCCCAGCGAGACGAGCGGGTGCACAGAGTCACACAGAAAATGGCTTTTATTGAGTGAAAGCAACAATCAAACCACTTCCTGGAAACCAGCAATTTGTTGCCTAAGATACAAACAGACAGAACAGGACACGTGACTGAAAAATAAACACAGGATCCTGGATTATCCCACAGATGTGATAATGGATTTGAGGACCTGTCCTGCATTTTCACTTAGACTTTGCTCCTGTTTTTAAGAGCACCCAGAGCAGAAACTCACCCACAGGGGAGATCTGCTGGAAGATGTTATTGACAGGCAAGCCCTCCTTCCGCAGGGACCAGCACTCCACGATGCTGCTGTTTTGGTTGGAAGCACAAAGCAACACCTGCAAAACAGAACCTCCTACTGTGACAACATGCCCTACAACCACCCTGTTATTGTTTCTCTCCCTCCTCCATTTCCAGGCTCCTTCCAGCAGCACTTCCAGGATCAGCAGCTAGAAACACCAAGGGCACTGCAGGACACTATCATTCATCTCAAGCCACGTGGGGAAGCCAAACGTGGCACAAACAGCCATTTCCTCGCCGTTCATTTAACCCCTCCTTGCTTCCCCAGCAGATGCTGACCTGCTCTGACATGTCCCGAGCCAGGAACTTGAGGTGAGTGATGGCTGGGTACTTGTCCTTGCGGGAAGGGTCCGTGGTGCAGCGCATGAAGAGGGAGGGCAGGATCTCAGTGTCGATTTTGCACTTCTCGTTCACCACGCTGACACAGACCTTGTAGAACTGGACAGGGGAGGTGCTGCTGCCATCAGATGTGGCCACCACGATGTTCCCCCCACCCGTGAAGGCGACGTCTGCCAGGGCGACGCGGCAGCGCAGGCGGCACAGGCTCTCGGTGGAGGTGAGGACCTGCCCGTTGGGCTTGAGCAGCGACACGGTGACCAGGCCGCTGATGGTGACGGCGATCCAGCCCTCCATGGGCTTCCCGCCAAACAGCGTCAGCGACGGAGAGAACTTCACCCTGGAGAACTTCTCCCCAAAGTTGGACGCTCCAGACTGCGAGGGAAGATGAGAGCACTCACAGCCTGGAGCTCCCCTCGTCGAGGAGCTGTGGACAAGGGGCAGGGCCCAAACCCCCTGACCCCCTTCCGCAGCCAAACCCAGCTCTGACACGGACCCCTGTGCCTCGGGCTCTCAGCCCCACAGGCAGGGAAAGGCTTCTTGCTGGGATATCCTGAGAGTTAACATTTGAAAAAACCTAAGCAGGTAACTTGGGCTTGGCAGAGCTGCTGAGTCTGACAGAACTGGACATATTTCTAAACGAGCAGCTTATCTCCCTGCACACAGGGCTCCTGTTCCCAAATCCCTGCACAAAACCTTGGGACCTCGAGAGTGTTTCTCCTGAAATACTGTGGGTAGGCAAATAAAGGATTTATCTCCATTTTACAGCCAAGGAAGTGGAAGCACCAGACTAAGGGAGACACAGTTTAAGTGACAAAAGAAACAGGGGATCCAACCCCCACTGAAATCCAGCAGGAACAAGGAATCTGACTTTGCTTTTTGACTGGAAAAGTTCCCCTAGTCGACTTGCCCCATAAGCCAGAGCAGAAACACAGCCAGAGGGTTCCCTTTGCTCGCGGCCTCAGACAGATCCCCTAGGAGCTGGGACAAACCTTTTCCACGTGCAGAGCCAGCTTGACACCGTTGTGCAGCCAGGACAGGGCCACCACCGGGTCCCCCTCCACCACGCTGCCCACCGTGCTCTCCCAGCTGTTGGCCAGGTGGTCGCTCATGCTCCAGCACTTGATGTGCCCGTCGGCGTCTGCCGAGAGCAGCCGGGAGCCTGCGGGAGTGGTGCTGGGTCAGGGTGGGGGGCACAGCCCCAAACCTCCCTAGAAACCACCCCCAAATCTCCCAGGAAACCACCCCCCTGCAAGGGACACACTGCACGGCTGCCAGGCAACAAGCTCCATGATGGACCGTTTCAGGAAACATGCAGACAAACAAGGGGACACAGGGATAAGAAGCTCCAGGCTCACCCGACTGGTCCCACTCCAGACACGTGATGACCTCAGCGTGGCCAGAGTTGACAGAGTAGACATCCCAGGGGTGCTCGGTGTCGATGATGTGGACCATGTGGGTGAGATCTGAAGGAAGAGAGATCTGGGTCCCTACCCCTCATTACCCACCTGGTACTTCTAAACCCACAGGCCTCAGCTGGTACCAGAGGTGACACATGGTATTTTCCACTGAGCAGTTCTGGGAAGGAAAACAACTGTGCTGGGCTTCTCAAGACACCAGAACAGCTCCCCAGCAAACTAAACACCCCTTAAACCTACAGAATGGGAGGAAAAGGAAGGGCAGGAGTTTCCCATGTGGGTTAGTGCAGGGGAGAGATTGCAGGGCCAGAGCAGAGCACAGGCCACCAGGAGCTCCTGAGGGCCAGACGGGATGGGAGAGTTGGGGGGTTCAGCCTGGAGAAGAGAAGGCTCCAAGGAGACCTTAAAGCACCTTCCAGTGACTGCAGGGGCTCCAGGAAAGCTGGGGAGGGGCCTGGGACTAAGACTTGTAGTGAAAGGACAAGGAGGAATGGATTAAAACTGGAAGAGAGGAGATTGAGGTTGGACAAGAAGAGGAAATTATTTAGTGTGAGAATGGTGAGACACTGGCCCAGGTTGCCCAGGGAAGCTGTGGCTGCCCCATCCCTGGGGGTGTTGAAGGGCAGGTTGGATGGGGCTTGGAGCAGCCTGGGCTGGTGGGAGGTGTCCCTGCCCATGCAGGGGTGGGACTGGTTGGGCTTTAAAGCCCTTCCAACCCAAACCGTTCCATGCCTCGCCTCAACACCCCCAGTTCCCACCTCCCTACCTTTCTCCTCTTCGTTCTTGAGGTCGGTGGTGAAGGCGATGAGGTTTCGGCAGGACCAGGCGCACACGAGGGGGATGGAAGGGCAGTGGTTGCTCTTGGGCTTCTTCTCCCACTCGCAGACATAGGCCAGGTCCATGGCGACCCCGGCCCGGAGAGGAAAACAAGCGCCCGCTCCTCCCTGGACGCGACAAACGGTCAATTCCTCAGGTCACAGGGGCCGGTTACACCGAAACCCCCCCCGGCGACGCGGGAGGGGACCAGGGCACGGCGGGCACGGGGCCGGGACCCCCAGGTGCCTCCATCGCCCCGCGGGTCCCACTCACCGTCCCGCACGTCCCCGAGGACCCC